GATCTTCACCACCGTCGAATCGACCAGAAGCAATCTAGTGATAAATAAGCATCGCGTAGCTACCGAGGTAACTGTAATCGATTGTGAGTTCGTGCGACTTGCTTCATTACAGCTACTTCGGTCATCGCAATGCGTTTAGTTCTTGACACTGCTTGCTCTATTCGAACTTCTTCTCTGCAAAACAGGTTATATTGCTCTTGGGATGTAGATAGTTGTTTAAATGATAGCGGATCGGTAAGAATGATGTCATCTCGGCGACGCACTCTCGAGAGAGCTACATACGCAAAAGAAGTATTGGGTACTGCTTTTGAGTGGAAAACAATCTTTGCACAGGTCAAACCTTGGATCTTGTGGACTGTAATAGCACAAGCCAGTCTTAGTGGAACTCCTTCTCTGAAAACACTTAGGTCACTGGTCTTCTTCGTCCAGCTAAGGTTTCTAGGAACAACAGGTACAATATTTGCCACACCAGGTAGGAACGAAGGACCGGCGTACGAATACGTTATCTGAACAAGTATTATAGGTAATGCTAAGTCCTTACAGAAGATAAAGCCGTAGATGGCGCCGTTGGTGCCATTACAAAGACCGGCAGATTGTTCCATGTTAAAGGTTAGTGTCACAGGTGCTGCAACCACCAGTTTTACAACTCTGGAAACCGCCCGATCTCAGTTTTCGTTTGCTGTTTCGGCTTCCTCTACTAGTGCTTGGTTAGAGTCAGGTGGTATTTCTCTTTGACTTGCTAGCCGCTTGAGCTGCACGGTGTGCTTCGATCGAATTTGAACGACTGGAAAGGTACTAGACGCTAAGCTGTTCTGGTTAGCATCGGAAACATCCGCATTTAAATAGGCGATGTGTTTAGCGGTTGAAACCCATTCAGGCATCTCTGCTTTTTTCATGTATCTTGTGTTGAACAAGTCGACGTCTTCTGGTGTCGCGCACTTTTGCCGCAGCCAAATAAAAGCTGCATGCCATTCAGGGTCTGCCTTACCTTTGTTTTGGTTCGTCAAGCAACATACGTATGGAATCGTCTCCCAAGTTTCTCTTCCTAGCTGCTGTACTGAGTTGTGAATTTTCAAAGAGGGAGTCGACAGAGAGTATGGAATTACAGTGTCTAGTTGCGCTGAATCTCCTGTAAAGATAATATCACGACCTCCAAATGGCAATTGCCTGCATTTCGGCCAAATTTCCCGCATTCTCTGGTCGATCCAGTGTAGCATACCACACGAAATAACGCTAATCTCATCTATTATGACAAGGTGAACATTTTGATATTTGTCCTGTAGCCTTTTTAGTGTAGTGTGCCCACCTTTGGCAGTAGTTAAAGACTTGTATGGAGCAGAAAATGCATTGCGTGAACATGATTTTAACTCTAACGCGGAACAAATCGTTTGACCCCTGATATTGAACGCAGCCGTTCCCTGGTGAGCTAAGAGGAGGACTCGTTTGGATCTTCGTCGAGAGAGATATTGCTCATTAAACACGGTATGCAGGTCTTTGACGATGTGTTTAATTAACCAACTGTTTCCAGAGCCTCCCTCTCCGTGAATGATCATTTCCAGAGGTAGACATTCACTGTTTTCTGTGTGAACCATGAATCATTTGCGGGACTACCTCATCGCCAGTGCAAACGGAACCCACTGTGACTCGTACATAGTATCATTAACGGGGTTTTCATCGTCGTCACACACAGTGTACATGTAGTTATTGTGTTTTTGCTTTTTTCGATCAAAACATGTGTTGCCACCTACTTCTCGCTGAAGTTTAAGCCAGGGTTTAAGGTATTTTTTCACGAAGACACGAGCTCTTTCAATATCTTCGGTGGTATAATTGTATTTTGGTATCCACGCAACTTGGGTT